CGGAGATGTGCAATCTGCCAACGCCTTCAGATTGCGTTGTTGTTTTGCTTTGCGCTGGGCAGCCAACACTTTGCCAGGCAATGGCGGGCGTTGCTTGCCCCAGATACGGCAGAAAATTGTCCGCGCCATGGCTGCGGCCAAGAAAGCTGAACCACCCAATCGTGAAATTAAACTTGGTCCTGGAATTGAAAGTTTGGCGCAACGCACCAGTTGCCTTTAATTCAGTTTTGGGGTAGCATCATGAGCAAAAGGCGAATGAGTGACCGAAATATTGGTAGGTAATCCTCCCCGCAGTACACACACTACTCAGATGCAGGGTTTCCCTCAAGCTACCAGAGACCAAAAGCTTCGATACCGACTGTTCCCCTTCCCGTCCGAACCCAAAGTATATAGATATATACAAATATACATTTATATATAATATTCGCTGCCACATCCACGTGGTAAACACCGTGTTCACCGGAACTACACCAAGGTGGGGGGGGGGGACCCGCCGGTAAACAAACAGTATAGAATGCTGAGGTGCTGGAAAGCTGTCGGTTCAACAAAGCGTAAGCTTCATACCACACATCGCGTTTACCAGATCTCAGAAGCGGTACACAAATGATATTGAAACTCTCTCTCTCTCTGTCTCTCTCTCTCTCTCTCTCTCTCTTTTTCTATGGCGGCGCCCACACCCCTCGGTTGCTTTCTGCTCCCCTGCTAAAAGTTTAACTTTTAGTGGTTTAGTGGAAAACCCATTAGTTGGCAAAAAGTTCCTAACAGCCAAGCAAAATGCACCAAAGACCACACATCGTGTTTACCAGAACTATACCCGGCGGGGGAGGGCCCACCGGCCGGTATACAAACGGTACAGAGATGAAGGGTTTGCTTCTGAAGCGGCGGCGCCCGCACCACACATCGTGTTTATACCAGAACTATACCGGGCAAAGCCGCGCCACCGGCCGGTATACAAACGGTACAGAGATGAAGGGTTTGCTTCTGAAGTAGCGGCGCCACGCCACACATCGTGTTTATACCAGAACTATACTGGGCAAGGGGGCGCCACCAGCCTATACAAGCGGTATAGAGATGAAGAGTTTGCTTCTGAAGCTACCAGATGGGCAAGCCAAAATGGTGGCCGCTTTCCCATCTGGTAGCTTCAGAAGCAAACCCTTCATCTCTATACCGTTTGTATACCGGCCGGTGGTGCCCCCCCAGCGGGTATAATTGCGGTACACACGATGTGTGGTGGCCACTTCAGAAGCAAACCCTTCATCTCTGTACCGTTTGTATACCGGCCGGTGGCGCCCCCTGGCCCGGTATAGTTCTGGTATAAACACGATGCGTGGTGTGGCAAGTCGCCCCACTTACTTGCCACACATCGTGTTTATACCAGAACTATACCGGGCCAGGGGGAGCCACTCGCGGGTACACAAACGACTAACATTAAGGGTTTGCTAGGTGGCAAGCCCAAATGGTGGCGCCCCACTTGCCATACCACACATCGTGTTTATACCAGAACTATACCGGGCCAGGGGGCGCTATGCGCGGGTACACAACGGACTGACATGAAAAGGTTGCTTCTGAAGCTGCCAGATGGCCAGCCGGATGGCAAGCAAAAATGCTGGCACCGCCACTTGCCACACCACACATCGTGTTTATACCGGAAGTATACCGGGCAAGGGGGCGCCACCGGCCGGTATACAAACGGTACTGACATTAACAGTTTGCTAGATGGCAAGCCAAAATGGTGGCGCCCCACTTGCCACACCACACGTCGTGTTTATACCAGAACTATACCGGGCAAGGGGGCGCCCCCTGCGGGTAAACAACCGGTACTGACATGAAGGGTTTGCTTATGAAGCTACTTGAAGCTACCATCTGGCCAGCCAGATGGCAAGCAAAAACGCTGGCGCCGTGCCTGCCACACCACACATCGTGTGTATACCGGAACTGTACCGGGCGGGGGGCGCTACCCGCCGGTACACAAACGGTACTGAAACAAAGGGGTTGCTTCAAGTTGCTTCTGATGGCAAGTTAGGACATTCGGACAGAAAGCGTCCTTCCCAGAAACACAATTAAATACCGAGGGTTGGAAATGGAACTGCATTCCCGAACCGCTTCCCACAGCGCAGCTATACCAAGGAACGATGGGTTTCCTCTAAAGCTATCAAAGGGTAAGCCAGGAACGTCGCAAATAGACATTCCAACCCGCTCCCATTCAACCCCTTTGCCAGGCCTTCCCACCCCGGGCGTGTACCACTCCTCAACCCGGGCCACTTCGGCAGCAGCGCGGCCCGGGGCGCTGCCAACCAGGCTTGCTTCTTCCATTAACCAGGCGTCGAAATCGATGTGCGGGGCGTCGCCGAGGCTGAATTCAACTCCTTGACAAGCAGCCAACCCGCCCCAGCAGCCCAGCTCAAAACAGAACCGTCCATTCGTTCTGTAAACGTTACAAACTGTTTCGACACTCTCCTTGATCTGTCGTGGTGGACACGACAGACCGAAAAGTGCTGCTGGCAGTCTGCGTCTACTTCCAAGTTCACGACGTGCAACAACGCCGCGAGTTTGTCTGGGGCCGTTGTCCGACCCCTTCCCAACGTGGCCACTGGCAAAAGCCTCACCATCGGCCCTTCCTCCTCTTCCACCCGCTCAGGCTCGTCAAGCAACATGTGCGCCAGTGGATCGGTCACGGCGCTGCGACAGGCATATGCATGAAGGTGTCGCGCCTTCTCTGTCCTTAAAATGTGGGTTAAGGGAATTGCCACGATCACGGTTTCATGCCAAAACCTATGGGCAAGCTAGGCTAGCTAATGCTGCAATCCATGAAAAAAACAGATGTGAAAAGCTCAAGCACTACCGTCAAGTTTCGGGATGGCCACTTCCTGGACCAGAAACAAGTCTTTTTTGACAGGTGAACTGTCAAAACACAGGTAAAGGCCAGAGCCAGGGCAGATCGCGCTGTTGCGGTCAGCGCCAGCTGCATCATCAGCTTGGTCTTCGGCTTGCGCGAGTGCGAACTGCTCGCGCCAAAAGCTTCTTCTGAGCAGCATCAGGGCCAAGTCAAGCTTGGCTTTGGCTCTGCTGAGCGTTGCCTGTGACAGGCGAGCAAAGTCAAGAAACTAGCTGCAAATGCTGCCTGCTTGATCCCACGCATCTGTTTCAAGCAAGATCCCATCACATGACCTCATACCGCTCTAAGTACTCTGCGAAGCAAAATGAATGGGTGGGCTCAAGGGTTGGAATCTCCAAACCAACGCCAATGCCATGAACAAGACACACTGCGGCGGTTCGACAAGGATTCAAGGGTTGGACCACGCTCAAGCCTCGTGGATGTTGCCCACAGGTTCCATGACAAAACCTTCGCCGTAGATCAGTTTCAAGGCAGAATCCAACACGGCAAACATCCGCCCGCCAGAGCGCAGGTGAAACGCCCTTAGCACGACACATTTCCCGCTCAAGAAGCCCTGACCTGCATCTGCAACCCCCACAGCCACAATAACCAACATCATGCCAAAGCTGGTCCAAGTGGCACTTTCATATACTGAAACAGCTGCTGCAAAGAGTAGGCTGGGCGGCCAACACGGCCTTTTGCAGCTGGAAGCAAGGACGCCGCCATCTCAGGTGCAACAAAGTGTGGAATGACTTATGATGCGATACACAAGGGTCCCTGAACTCCAAACCTCGAACACATCACACAAAGTCTGCACCAAGCCACCCCCTGATGCATCTGCCGTAGTGACTCCAAGGCTTGAGAAAAGTTTGCCTTCTGTTCCTCCGTGCCATGCTGCAAAACTGCTGGCGACGCTTTCACAAATTGGCCATGAATCTGGGCCAGCTGGTTTGTCAGCGACATGGCGCCGGATTCCAGGCACCCGCAAGACCAATGGCAGCTGGCAGTTTGATTTTCAATCCGGTGGCCCCCAGGTTGTTCCCCTGAACTTCTGTGTCTGAGAGTCTGAGACAACAAAAAAACCTTGAAAAACTCATGTCATGAAGGCTTCCCCCGGCCAAATCCTCATGCCACACAAAGCAAAACTGCCTCGCTCCAAAACGGCAACCGGCCATCAAGTCCAAAATCCACACTGACCCCTCTCAGAAAGTTGCGCAGGCCTTCAGGCCTTAATTACCGACCCCCCCTTTCCCACCCCTTGATTGTGCAAGTTCACACAGCAAACAACAAAAGACGAACAGCAGACGACGGCGACGACCGCGACGACGACGATGGCGACGGCCACCACAACAAAAACAACAACAACAACAACAACAACAACAACAACAACAACAACAACAACAACAACAACAACAACAACAACAACAACAACAACAGCAACAGCAACAGCAACAGCAACGGCAACCGCAACAGCAACAGCAACAGCAACAGCAACAGCAGCAACAACAACAACAGCAGCTGCTGCAACAACAGAGAACAGAAAACAAAAAAGTCAACAGGAATCGCCAAACAGTAGGTCATGCCCGCACCAAGAGCATAGGCAAAAGGCAACCTACAGTAGCACGAAGCAGAAACACCAGCTGGTAGAAATTCGATCCACAAGAGCAGCGCCACGGAGAACGCCAACCACAAAACCTTACAAGAGCAACAGCCACAAGCCAGAGCAACAGCAACCAACAGCAAGAATCAGAGCGCACAAGGCAGAACTGCAAACCAATGACGGCAACAATAACCAACAGAGAACTGCAACAAATGCAACCCGGCAATTTCAACACGTGTTATTTCCAGGCTAGCCAGCCATCAACCTTACGCTCTTCTGGCAAGAAGGGGCCTCTACAAGAAGTGAAGGAGGAAACGGCACCTGTGGGCTTACATTGTATACATCGAAACCTAGGGTTTTCTACATCAAAAACCAGCTTGCAAAAGGGCACGCAAGACACACACACACATAGGTGTCCTTTTTTATTGTTAAAAAAGTGAGGGCCCTTGTTTAGACGGGGTTTATTCCATTTTCCAGGGCCGTCTATTTTTCCAAAAGGACCTTTGCACAGACCCAGTTGCTCAGGTCCCTTGACTTTGGCAATTTCATCGACGTGCTGTCAGAGCCACGGCGCCAACACGGAGATTACTGCGTCTATGGAAGCTCGATCGGGGTAAGTGCGCGCGTGCATGCGCGGTTTCCCAGCGATACCCGGGGCTGTCTCAAAAATATGGTTGGCACGTGCTTAACAATCCCGCTCTGACCGGTTTTCCCAGACTGCCAGCCAGTGCTACTTTAAAGGGACGCACAAGGTTTGGCCAACCGACCCCTCAGTAAGGACGTCCCTTTCCGGCCCAACATTCAAAGAGTTCCCAAAAAAGGAGTTTGAACATGACCAAAGCTACTGCCCATACTTTTGTAATGCTAACTCCTTTCATAGTCTCAAGGATTGACATTCCAGAAAAATACAAAGCTAGCCATTTCTTGTTGCAGCTTGTTTAAAAAGCAAGGTGTGACAAGCTCGCAAAGAATGCCCCCCCTTCAAACCCCCCCCCCTCCCGAAGACAAAAACCTCATCTGCTTCATCCCGACCCTATCCAGCCCTGAAAAATTAAACCAGACAGGAAATTACCAGAGAGGACTGGTCCAGACTCATCCGGCCTTTGGGCATGTACCCCATTCGCAATCCTAGAAGATAGCAGTTTCCTTCATTTTGTCTCTTTAAACAAAACTTTGAAGGGGCACCTCGAAATTGCCTTTAACCTGTATGTATTAGCCATGTTTTCGATTTTTCGGGTCGGTGGTTTTGTGTGACATCCCGGCAAAACAAACTCTGACCCAGGGCTCAACGAGCCGCTGGTGTGCGGATTTGTTTTTCCTTGCGCCAACTTCCCTTGTCTTTGGAAGAACACCCACCTAAACGCGTGCGTGCTTTTCTTATCTGCACCACCAGGCATGCATTCTAATGTTTTTGAAGGTTGTGTGGGCGCTTTCCCAAAACACGACCAAAACTCTTGATAAAACAATTGCTTCACAGTTGAAGCCAGGAGTGGTTGCAGCGCTTCAAGTGCGCGGCCGAGAGCTACTGGCCATGGGCTCCTCTGCTGTAGACGGGGCGCAGCTGAAAAGAAAAAAGGGCACAGTGCAACGGATTAAAATGCCAGCCTCCAACACCCACCTTGCCAGAGGCATTCTGTCAGGTTTCATGGTTTCATCATTGCTGTAGGGGGGGGTATTTGTCCACGTTGGTGGGAGGGAGCTAGTTTGGTTGAATGAAATAATTGCTCACTCCGATTTCAGAACTCGAGCAGTGCAACCATGATCCGTGAAATCAAGTAGCTAGACGGCACATGTGTGTATTTGCTGCCTTCTAAAAACACGTTGCAATTTGGTGGCGTACAGCTTCTCGTGTTATTGATATCTGAGCCTTTGGTGGACATCAAAAATTGGTGCAGATTCACATCCACTAACGACTTTGAAGGGAGTAGTTCGAATGTAACCTAGTTCCGTGTCCTTGCAATGGGAACCCCACAACATGGACACAAAGGGCCCCGCGCGGAACAGTCTTCGGAACCCTTCCAAGAACCATAGGCATTTGGTTTCGAGTCCGAGCCGTTTCTATTTGGCCTGGCTGAGGTGACAAGGCCGGTGCAATCGCAGACTGGGAGATGGCCTTGCAACTCTTGGGCAAGGAGCGAGATTCGCTGAGTTTTTGTCTGCATTGGCCAGCACGTCTCACAGGTTTCACTGCCGAGTTTGGGATAGCGGAAATCACCTTGAGGAAATTTCAAGGCTGTGAACACCAAGATGATGGAGGTATTCGCACATGGCATTGGACCGCATGTTCAAATCCTGGAAATCCCAAAACGAGCTAACTTTCCTAACGCAACAGGTTCAGTGAGCATTTGGCATCGGCTGGTTGCGCTGGAGAGTGAAAATAGTGGGAATAATGAGCAGCTCCAATCTAAATTTAATAGCCGTTTGCTCTCGGAGCCCCTGGGAAATGCGGAGACCAGATCCTGGACTACCAACCTTTTGTAGGATTTCTAAAAGTTCGAGATTCAAAGACAAAACCCCGGCAACCTGGTTTCACCTGCTTGACCAAAAACCGACAAACAGCGCGCCTTTTTGTTTGCCCAGGTTCACCAGCCCCTTCATGGTATCCTCCCCCCACCCCTCCCAGCCGGCCCAGCACCGTAGCCCCCCGCCTGCACTCACTCTAAACTAACCAACTCTACCCACAAACCACCCACAGAAAACAAGGAGCACAAATACGGTTCCCTTCTGAGTGGGCGCGTATTGTGATCAAACAGCCCTGGTCGTTTCACACCTTTGGCAACAAAGCAACTTGGCGGGCGTCGTTTCACCCACTTGAACAGCAGGAAACTGAATCCATCAAGAAGCTGCCTGCAAAACGCAAGGCATCTAGGCAAAATTACCAGCTCATCCAAAGCGCGCTCATCAAAGTTTGAGGAGAAACCTTCCCAGGTTGACTTGGGGTTTCCCCATTCCCTTCACCCAATGGAGTTTGGCAACCAGTTCCTGGGAAGGATCCCAGAAAGGGAAGGATTTTGCTGTCCCCGTT